AGGATTACCTACATGGACCAATGGATGCAGGAACAAAGCTTAAGGTCAAATTCAGGACCGGGGACATACGCCTTCGAGAACGTCGACGAAGACGACGAGTTCAAATGTGATTGCGGCTTCGAATGCGAAGACCGTGTACATGTAGTCGCGGAATGTCAGTTGTTTAAGAAGGAGAGGGAAGTGTACGTGACTGAGCTGGGAAAAATAGATGGGACGTACAGGGAGATGTTTGATGCACGGAATAGAGAGGAAAGGACGGTAGCTGCACTGGGGAATATGAGGTGGGTTGAAAAGGCGGGAAGAGATATCGTTAGGATAGACAGACTAGGGAAGACATTTTTGAGCCACCTTTGGCAAAGTAGAAAGGAACGATTGGCCATCGGTGATCGGTCCCGTGGGAACAATGATCCGTCCTCTCGAGGACGCGTGGTCAATGGTCTACCCGCTAAGGCATGCAAAACATAAGAGTACGCCCCCCCCCTCGTGCGATGACCCAAGTGTCGATCAAACGCAATGCGGCGGGGCGGCGTTGTCCCCCAATCCACGCTACCCCTCCACCCCCCCCGTCACCCCCCTGTCCTTCTTTCCCACACGTAACGGCCACGCGCCGCCCGAATGTTTCTCCTTCTTTTTTGCTGCTTGTACAGGGAAGGGGAAACGTTCGACTTGTCCAAGCACCCACAGGGGACAGAGGTGAAGGCTATCACGTACTCTAACATGCAGGTAAAATAGCATTCCGCTCCTACCGTTGCATGTTGGGTCCCCTCCGGAACTTGTAGGCGGGCCCCCTCCCATTCTCCCGAGAGCAGGGAAAAGCCAGATGCATGACCTGATACTTCTTGAAAACCATATCGCAACCCCCCCCTACCCCGGTTGCTCTCTTGCCGTGGCCTCTGTACCTCTTGATCTTTTGACTTTTGGATAATGTGCTGCGTAGCCCAGAAACTCCCGCCGACATGTGCTTGATACGAGAAGGACGCCACCTTCTTTTTCCCGAGTCGCGCTGCATAGCCGCCCCCGATCCTCCTTTCCGTGCGGGTGTAGAGGCCAACAACGAAGGACTAGGAGGGGAGAAGCACGCGTGACGTTCTCGTGTTGCCGTTACGGGCGGAGAGATGACACCCCCCCGCCTAGACCGACTTTTTAAGCATCAATTGCGCTCCAAAAGGGTGCGGGAAGAGCCCGATATATTTCGGAAAGGGCCTCGACGAGATGATTCGATAACCGCCGTCTTTGGTGATGGCGCAAGCTTCGTTGTGGAGCAGTCGAGCTTGAAAATCGGTCTACGCGGGGTGCCATCTCTCCGCATTCGTGCGGTAGTATGCTTACGTCGGGCTATCTAGGGCGCGCACAACCGCCCCGCTTGTCTGCCCATTTCATCTCGGTTGACGAAAACTCCGTGGTGACTGCTGTTAGTTATGTACAACAAGGCCAATTTATCAGGCCTCCTCGCCTGGCTGTGTCCGTAATCACCTCTGTTTTGCTGAGGAGAACGAGGTTTTCGTTACATGTAGATTCAGCGCGCACGCATTACCTTGACGCCTTCGAGGCCTTGAACATTGATGGGTGGACTCCGACGGCATGTTTGTATCTCGCTTCAACGCCCCCCCCGCCGATGATGTGCTTGCCAGATCAACGAGGGGCCGGACGGGCGGACCGACATCTACGTCATCGTGGACATCTGACGTCATCGAAGACGTGTGGCGTCTAGCCCGTCGTGGAATCAATAGCATGTAATCGCGGAATCGATTGTCGGTGCCCATCCCCAGAACTACGGACGGCGTCCCATGTTGTTTGTCTGCGTATCGGTCTTCTGGTCGCCATCCTGTGTGCGGGGCAGATTTGTATCCACATGCCTCTCTTGCCGGACTTGTGCATCACGCGGCTGTCGTGGGATGGTGCCGTGCAATGCGTGTCGAAGCGCGTGCGACGTGTGTAGAGGGCGATTGTGTCACCGTGGAGGGGACCACAGCAGTTTAAAGGCTCGATACATAGCTGCACCCCTCCACCGGAGAAAAAAAAAGTACTGTAGTACTCTTGGAGTCGCCGATCGGTTGCAAGGAGGAAAGGGCCGAGATAGGTGGAGTAGCTCTTCCAGGGCTATCCTGGACCACACACATCGTTCGGCCTTGGAAGTTGGAAATGGAGCAATCGGGCTTCGAACGTCGGTCCAACGCGCCTGACATCCAAGAACCGTTACAGTAAAGCGTCGCGTAGTCACGAGGCCAAGACACAAGACACGTACACTCACTACAACGCTTGAGGACAACAACGCTGTGCGATAAACGACCCCAAGACGGGACACACACGACGAGAGAGAGAGACAGAGTTGTTCAAGTTCTTTGGCTCAAGGCTGGCTGGCTCATCACAGGCGGCCGAAACAGCAGCCCTCAGTACTAGCACGCAGGGAAACGTAGTAGTATGAGAAAAAAAATAGTCCCCTTAAAAAATTTAAGGCTCTGCAACAAAAAAAAAAAGTCTCACCCGTTTGTAACCGACCAAACAAAAACGAAAAGGATCGCAAAACCGTCGCATCCGAAATGAACGAATGGGAGCCTTCCACAGCACCCAGTGGATTCTGTAACCCACGAAATTCCCAGTATACCCTCCGAACGTCAAAACACATCATTAATTGGTGATACACTTGGCTTGCACGCCGCCGCTCGTCCCTTCTGACCACAAACGCCCCCTCATCAACACACAAAAAAAACACTTTTCTTACTAGTTGAGGGCGGGGATCTCAAGGAGACAGCTCTCGGATTTCTCCGCACGCTTCGCCGAGATGATGTCTCGGGGGCGGCTGCGCAGCCAGTCATATCCTACCGTTCACTAAATTTCCAACATATAAAACACCGCTTGTTTGCTGCTGCTGCTGTCTTCCATTGTTGTTATCATGGATAGAAAGATAGATGGGCCGACATTACAAAAAAAAAAAAATGCGACTCTTTCATTGGCAACTACTTGTAGCATGTACTCCGCACAAACAGCCCGTGCCGTACAACACAAAAAGCGCTGGTTGCGGCCCACAGACCGAACAACCCGGCCCTCATTTCCAAAACCCTCTTTAGCCAGCCCTTGCGCGCATCGGCGTACTAATCCTAGTGCTCGCTGGCGCTCTTCTCAACCTCTCTCCCCTCTTTATAACCGTATCTCTGAAAATAAAACTCCTTCCTCTGATGATAATAGCCCATCAAATCCACCCGTCTTCTGAAGAACCTTGTGCGCGCCCCCCCCCTCTCTCTCTCTCGCGCGCGCGCCCGGAATCCAAGCCCTGCTGCTGTTGTTCCCTGCTAAGCAGCCCTTGTCTTCCTTCCCTCCCCGCTTGGTTGTACCACACAAAAAAAACATCAGCGCGCCCACCCCCAAGAGCCACCAACCAGCTTGTTCGCACAAGCTGGAAAATGGACACACATCTAGCATACACCACGGCGGGTGGAAAGGGCAAAGTTATAATCGTTGCTGGCTACACACGCGCATTCTCTGAAAACGAGGAAAGCAATTCCAGCGCCGGCGGCGCTGCTTGCGTCCATCAAAGCCAGCGCCATGTACACAAAAAGAGCAAACAACGCCAACATATGAACGGCACACGTGAACAGGACTACTTTTACAAAAAGACACGTCGGGGGGGGTGGATGGATGGATGGATGGATGGACGCGACCCCCGGGTGCGCGGCGCTAAAAACCCCGAGCACCCCCCCTGCGCAGCCGCAGCAGCACCATCCCGCCGCCCGCCCCGTCCTCTCCCTGAAAAAGAAAATCCCCTCCCACATGCGGAAAAAAAAAAAAAACGAAAACATGTGATACGATACGAAAAGCGATTGTACACCACACCGAAAGTTGCACGTACATCTTCTCTCCCCCCCAGGTTCGCCGCCAGTAAAAACGAAAAGCCCTTTCGTGGCTGATAGAAATCTCAACGTGGCCGGGCAATCTGACCGGCCGAAAACCGCATATGCCGTGAGCCATATGGGAAACTTCCATTTGTAGCAACCCCGCTCCATGGGATTCTACCAGAAAACGGCAGCAACTGCTGCTGCTGTCTGCACGCCGCCGCTGTTACACAAAAGACAACCCCCGCCGACGCGTCCTCAGCAAAAGAAGCGCTGGCAGGCAGGCCAGTTGATGGTTTGCTGGAATTTTCTCAATAGTAGTTGCTGTGGTCGGATATCAAAAGACGCATCAGTTGCGCCTGGTCGGGGGAAAAAAGGTGTCCGGAGCAGCCAGACACACACGCAACGTGGGTAGTCTGTTCTCACACACGACGCCGAGAAATCGGAAGGAAAGAAACAAGAACTCAAAACACAGGATAACGATGATGTGCAAGAAGAAAAAGCCTTGTGAAAAATCGACTTGCAAAAATAGTTCGAACGCACGCCACATGTGCATATAGGTCCCACCAAGCTGGACCTGGCTACAACTGCACTGCACTGCACTGCTGGACAGTCGAGTGATCTGAATTGGCCCGGCGCAATCGCACACACCACCGCGCGTGTGGGGGGTGTTTCTACAACACTCTACGGGGGAGAGGGGGGGCGGGGGGTAGCCAAGACACATAGGGGAAAAAACATATCATAAACTAGACAGACTACACACCGGAAATTCATACATCTGCGAAAAAACTCTACTTGTCGCCATTTTTACGACAATAGAAAGTGCGGTGGATGTTCCTGTGGCGTCAATCAACATCATCTCGACGACGCCGAAAACACGGATCGCTTGAGGGCCTTCAGGAGGGCTTGCTTGGCGTAGATGCGGACATTCCCCAGGCTGTCCGTAGCGATCATAAGGCTGTTCGGCGCGACGGGACTCGCCGCCGCCGCCGCCGCCGCCGCCGACGCTGTAGACGACGAGGAGGGATCCCTCCCGCCACGGCCGGCTCTGGACCTCCCATCGACCCCCGACGCACCCCCGCCGCCTTCAGCTCCCTTCTCCGACGCGTCCCACGACCACTCCGAGGGGCCAACCTTGATGCCCTCCATCGGCGGCGGCGGCAATCCGAGAGGCGCGGAAGCCCCTGGTCCCGCCGCCGCCGCCGCGGCCGAAGGCGTCGAGGCCCTCTTCCCCGGAGATCTGGAGGCCGTCGGGGACACCGAGGGCGAAGACATCATGATCTCTACCAGGGGGCCTGAGGAGGTCCGCTCGCTCCATCTGGCTCCGCCCGCGGGGGCGTGGTGGGTACGTCGACTGCTGCCACCACCGTCCAACCGCCGGCCGTCCTTATCCCTCCCCCTCGTTGAAGGCGCCGTGTCCTCGGACGGGGGCTGCCGGTACACGTCCACGGTAACAACGCGGCCCGCGGAAGCTCCTTCTCCTTCGCCGCCGCCGCCGCCGCCGCTGCTCCGCCCTTTCCCGCCGCGCGCGCGGGCTGCGAGGCGCCTCGACCCGCTGTCGTCCTCCTGCTCCCAGCCCCACCGGGCGCTGGGGGCGTAGGGCGGCGGCGAGGCGCCGGTGCCCAGGTCTCCCGCTGCAGCGGCCGCCGACCCCGCCCCTTCTCCCCCAGAGACCCTGTCGCTGTGCCGCTTCGACCGGTGCTGTCGCTGCTGCTCGTGCTCCACCTGCCGCGGAGACGACGAAGAAGACGGCAGGCCCGTCAGCGTCCGGTCCTGGTACGGCGGGGGCGGTCGCCGCTGCTGCGCTCGGTCGCCGGAGCCGCCCCTTTCCCTCCCCGCGGCGGCGGCGGCGGCGGCGCCGTCGTGCTCCGCCGTTCCGGTGCCATGGCTAACCGACCGCCTCAGGCTCATGTCGCCGCTGCCGCCGCTGCCCTCACCGCTTCCTCCCCGAGACCCCCTCGAATGCTGTCGCCGATCACTAGCCATGCTGCTGCCGCCGCCGCAGCCTCTACGGGGTGAAGATGCCGCTGCCGAATCGATGGCGGCATCGCTCGCGCTGCCGCGGCGCTGGATAACCCTCGAAGAAACCCCGGTCCTTCCCGCGCGCCCCACCTGAAGCGTCGACCGCGCGGCTGCTGCTGCCGCCGCCGCGCCTTTTTTCTCCTGATCCTCCCTCTCTGCATTCGGCGGGAAGGAATGCCGGCCGAGAGATCCGTTGCCGCCGCCGGCAGAGCCGACGTTGTCGCCGCCACCGCCGCCACCGCCGCCGGGCATAACCTCTGCAATGGATGGGATACTGGTCCGTCTGCGTGCAGTTGGTGGCGGCGCCAATTGGGCGGCAAAAGGGAGTCGAGTCGAACGGAGCCGAAACCAATGGACGGCGATGGTAAGGAATAAGGTCAGATGTCCGCAGTGGAAGCGATCATGCCAAAGGGAGAGGGTTTGGCGGTGGGGTGGGGTGGGATCTAGTGTCGCTGTGGGGTCTGTCGGAGCTTACAAATTATTGCTTGCTTCCAACTTTGGGTCCAAGAGCCGACCGTGGGTGGGCAGCGTCGGGGGGGGCGGCATTTGTGCCGCCTGCTTCATCGAACAGCCACCTCCTCATCAGAGACCGCCGTGCCTTGTGACGACTCAATCTCTCGTGGTGGCCACCCCGCATGCCACCACGATCGTCGCCTTGTGAGAAAGTGATATCAAACGTCAAACCGGCCCAACATAGGTTGGGAATGGAACGGTATTCGCCCGCGACGATATTTCTTATCTACTCCCATTTGTTCGAGCTACCCAGACCGCCCTTCTGTTTTAACACATCGCGACCCCCAATGGCGCACTATTTCTGCGTTTTCGGCCGCACCAGTGAGTGCTGCTTCGTAACAACGGCAAGCTAAAAAAAAAACACACACACACACACGCACAGAGGAGGCCAAGAGAGCATCACTAACCATTCTCCACTCAGTGAGAGGCACGAAAGCGGACAAAAGGAAACGAGTTTTCTTTGTGGGGGGGGTCTAGACTATACCACTAGCCCAGATGTACTCAAAGTACGCACTAGCCAGCGTCGAGCCGGGGCGGGCAGCGGCGGCGGTGTTACCTTCGCGGCTGAGCAGACTTCGGGACGGGCCGCTGGTGGCTGGGGGCCTGGTGAAGTCCGTGGGGAATCTTCGCCGACAGGCCGTTCGCCCGCTCGAACCGCGCCACTGCGGCCTTCGGGACAAACAGCGCCAAGGTGACCTGGATGATGATGATGATGGTGGTGGCGCGAAAAATTGTTGTTCAAAGGCGAGTAGCACAGCACTAGGGGAGTAAACCAGAGGACAAAGGTGAGGGAAGGTGAAGCGGAAGGGGGGGCCAACAAAACGTAACCTCGTGATGGCGGCGAGACAATGGCCGCCCAGAGGCGTGTAGCACAGTTGTAGGGAAGGAGGACGAACGGCAGTAGGTGAGGCAAGCGAAGGGATGTAATACCAAGAACGCTGGTGTGGCGCCAAGCAGCGGTAGCGGCAGCACGAGTTACGTGGGTGTGGGTGTGAACCGCTCTGCCCGCTGCAGAATGGTACAACCCGAAAGGCGTTAAAAAAAACAGAAACAACGCGGCGCAGTAACAGCGCGACGAACGGCACGCCGGGAGGCCAACGGCGGAGTGATTGGATAAGACCATGGTGTTCACGTGACTCGCAAGGCAACACTAACAGGGGAAAACCCATCACCGGAAGACGTGCAAACTGCCGCGGTAGGAAAACACGCGCTACAATGTGTGGTGCCATCGATAATACAAGGATAGTTATTGTCTTCCGGGAAAAAACACGTTCACGACGTACAGCAAAAGCTTCTCATGCCCGATTCGCTGTCCCGCTGCGGCTGTCCCGCTCTAGGGCAAACAAGTGCGACGGCCACACCGATTTGGGGAAGAGCAAATATTGACGACCCCCCCCCCCCCCCCCCCCCCCCCCCCCCCCCCCCCCCCCCCCCCCCCCCCCCCCCCCCCCCCCCCCCCCCCCCCCC